CAATTCCTTCTATTTAGGATTTTATCTATTTAACTTAGTTCCATAAACTCCGCAGTCCCTTGTGATATCTTATGATATCTCTATACCCTACGGAAGGTGCAGCTTTATACAAGTCCCGGTTGTGACCTGCTAGACATTACTTTGAACAGTTCCAATTTTTAGACACATACTTTCGGATTTCGGTATATGTTAAGATAACCTCTACGGTTTGGGTAGGATGGTCTACCTACAAACAAATTACCTTCGATAACAATATAATTTGAGGATAGGTTGTGAAAATTGTCAAAAAGAAAGCGTTACTACGACACAAAGTACTTTCTCATTAAGTATTGTTTTAATGCCTCCCTTCATCTGAAAGTCTCCTATCATTCTCTGGAGCTAGAAATACGGTAATAAAAGGAGCAAAGGGGAGTTTCCAGCCACTCGTCCCGTCTCGAAAGGTTAGTAACTATAAAATTGTGATAGTGTGGCGTAGTGTTAGCATGTTGAAAGTAAACGTTGCACTACTAAGTTTCGATTCCCGTAGTGGGGTTCTGTCTGCTTTGCAACTTATATGACAAAGGATAGTATGTGATATAAAAAGTGATTATGGATTCACAATTCGAGTTATAATCCTGCTGGGGACACTGAGACCTATAGGGCATTGAGAATTTGGCTGTTACTGCACTTTTTGGATAGGGTGGTGTACTATATGATCACTAATGAGCGAATTATTTTAGATTAAAGAGAAGCTTCACAAATTGATTCGTCAGGGAGGTTGTAGTGTCGCTTCACTTTCTAAGTATCCTATGTTAAAGAATACAACGCTGTGATGCACTAAAAAATAATAATATGTATAATGTTGAATATAAGACCGATTAATAAACACATTCGAATTTAATTTATATAATATCCCGAATCATATTTTAATAAAACTCTAAGCATAATTATTAGTTAAGCCTACCGAAGAACGTTCAGTATGAGCTGATAATGATGAATTTCTCATGCATCGACAAGTCTTGCGACCAGCGGCTCTCGGTACTGCACATCGCTGCCTGGTCGCAATTCCCTTTACTTGGCCTAGGTGTTGATGCTTTGACTCCTCAGTGCGGTGCCGTATGCCTGAAAGACTAGGCTGCTGACTATGTGTGACGGTAGTAAAGGGTTTTTTCATTGGTTTAGCAATGATGGCACCAGTCCGGCCAGACAGGCTATTGTCGCCATCCCTCACGAACACTTCCGACCGACTGGAGGTCGACAGATTCTTAATGGGTAGATGAGCCGGAAACTGGCTAGTGGGTCGAGGCCGTTGGCCATAGACAGTAGGCTTTGAAGGAAGGTCTGCGATCTTATGCGTATACGAGGCTGATGCGGGCCAGTTGATGGAGGATGAGACATTGCTAGGGCCTGTGCTCTGGCACGCAGGAGGCCCAAGCTTGAAAGTCAAGCTGAGCTTTGTTGTCTTTTCTTCAGGAGTGTTTGATTGTATTTATATAACCATGTGAGTATGAATGAGGTTGCAGCATGTGTGTTCGTATTGTGTGTATTGCGATGCAAATGACACAAAAAGTGGCCAAGCAGAATCCTCATTTTAAAATCTAAATTTGGATGTAGTGAGATGATGGACGTTTCAATTATCAATAAATATCAATCAGTTGTGAAGAGGCAATGTAAGAGAAATCATAAAAGATGAAACTGACGTATCGGCGAAAAAATATTTGCTCAAAAAATGAGTGATGTTAGTGAGGATGAATAAAATCCATTTAATCGATAACTAGTAAGATTAGACAATATGAGCGGGTATGTTAAATTCTAAAACCCAAGGTAATAATAGAACGCATATCAGACAAATTAAAAGCGATGAGACTTTGTAAGAAGCCATATCATGGAATGCAAATTTTCAACCAGGGTTTTGAAACTTATTGCTGACAGATTAGCTTATTTAAATGTGAGCAATGTAATAAATGGCTTTGCCTACGGATAGGGTATCTGGAGATGAAGGAAAAATTACAGGTCAGAATAGATAAAGAATATCTTAGCTCAGGACTGTGAATTACTTTGTTTCGTAATATTTATACAATTGTACTGATAAAGCCAAACTAGACTCCTCACCGATTGCTCCAACTAGTCTCTTCCCTCAAGCTGTCATTTAGCCTTCTAGTGGAATGACAAATCAGCAATAGACCGATTA